CGGCAGCCTTCCGTCCGCTCGCGCTCGCCAGCCGCGCCGGCAGCAGGACGACCGGCGGCGAGGCCCGCTGGCTCTCGCTCGCACCCGCCTCCACCGCCTCCATCCACGCCTTGTCCACCAAATCAGCCTTGGCTGCCACCACAATGCGCGGCTTGTGGGCGACTTGATTGGCCAGAATCGGATTGCGTGTCGATGCCAGCGCCCGTGCGTCGCGGACCTCCACCACAGCCTGGACTTGCGAGAGCATGGCCTTCACCTCCTTGGTCGTCTTGTGCATGTGGCCTGGAAACCAGTTGATCGCCCCCGCCCACTCGCTCGCAGCCCGCCCAGCTCCCTGTCTCGCCCGCACCGCTATCGCCGTCGCCATCGCCCGTCTCCCTGCCAGCATCGGTGCGTCTGGGAGACGAGTGTCGCGCGTCTCCCGGCCTCACGCTCGCACTCATCGCGGACAAGGTGCGCACGATGGGAAGAGTGCGGTCATTTACTACTTGTACAACATGCACATGGTACCTCCTGCGCGCAAAGATCGCCATGGCGCAGCGTCGGCTGTGGCGGGCTAGAGTCACCCACATCGATCACTGGCCGCACGGCTCGTCGGGAAACCGGGTGGCGTACAGGTGCGAAAGGAGGGCAGCGACATGGTTCTGGTTGTGCCCGGCATCTGCCTTTCCCAGGCGAGCCTGCGATTGAAGGCTGACGCTCGCCACGCCCGACGTGGCGTTACAGCTGAGGCCGAGGTACATGTCGTCGGGAAAGCCGACAAAGGACGAGAGGATGCGGATGTGAACAAAGCCAGAGTCTGATCCGACGTTGTTTGTCAGCATCTTTGTCAGCTGCTCGTCCTTGATCCAGTCCCTCACGCCGGCCATGATGGCGGGCAGGGAGGTGCGGCGTAGCAGCGGATGAGCATGCGGATGGTGGCTCATGCCAAACACGGGCTCGCCCACCACGACTCGGGCACAGTTTTCAGCCGAGGTGCCACCGCGACATGCCGAGGGGAAAGCAGACATATGTGGATTGGGCGCCGCGAGTCTGACGATGACGATGATGGTGATCCAGCCGTAGAGGAGAGTGGCGATGAGATAGAAGATGATCCTGGCCAGGAGCGGCATGATGGGCGCTGGCGAGCACTTTGACGTAAGCTGATGATACAGCATGGGATAGACAACAGCAGCACAGTAGGCAGCCCAACAGATGGCAAAGAGTGCAAGTGCAATGCCGACAGAGAAGGCCACCAGGGCAGAGAGGACCAAGGCCACCACAGCCACCACCGCAAAGAGGCCATGCGTCACAAGCCCGACCTTCTGCTTCACACTCACCACACTTGCTGTCCGGTGCACATCAGTCTGCACAAGCCCCTCGCGGTGGACAAGCAGAGGGTCATGCATCTCTGCTGCAAGCTGCAAGTGGGTGAGTCACGTGCCTGCCTGTCACGCTCGCCGCCGTCCTCGCTGCCGTCCTTGCCGTTGCTGCTGCTGCTGCTGCTGCTGCTGCTGCTGCTGCTGCTGCTGCTGCTACTGTCCGGCCAAGCCGTGTGACGCACCTTTGGCCGCAGACCGACGCGCGCCTAGTCTGTCCTATGCAGGTGGGTACCTATCTGCTGCTGATCATCCCCTGCTGCTGACCATCGCCCGCTGTTGGCGATCTCCTGCTGTTGGCGGCTGCCCCTCTCCCCCCCCCCCCCCCCCCCCCCCCCCCCCCCTACCCCCTCCCCTCCCCTTGCTCAAGATCAAGATCAATGTATCGCGGGCATGCTGAGACAAGCCCATCAGATCCGGACAGCGCCGACGTCAAAGGCATGGGTCGGGACGGCGGTGCATTGGACCTGGAGACAGATCTCGCCCGAGACCAGCTCGTCGATGTCGCGGCGGACGAGCTTGTACCAGGCCTTGTGCGGGCGGCCGTCGGTAAAGTCGCCGACGCGAAGCTCGACGTGGCCGAGGTAGTCGTTGCTCAGCGTGTCTTTGTCCCACACGTCAAAGCGGAGGATCTCGTGCCCAATCTCGTAGCGAAAGGCGAGCGGGGTGTTCCACACCGGGTTGAGCGACTTGGGCACGACGGCGGTCCGGAACGACTGGTCCTCGCCGTACGAGGCGACGACAAACGGGTCTGACGCACCGTTGCGATCCTTGGCGGCCAAATCGGAGGCGCGGAGGATGTCGACCATGATAGCCGCCCGCCGCGCACGAATCCATGCCGCGCCCTGGACTTCGTCTGGGTCGTGCCCGCTTGCCAGGCGCTCGCGCCGCCCGCGAAGCTCAAACCCGTTGAGCTCGAGCCACCGCCCGTCCATCGGCAGCTGGTCAAACGCGAGCTTGAACCGGCCCAGGAAGGTATCCGAGATCTTGTGCTGGTCCCACACGTCGCCGATGACCGCGTGCTCCGGGAACTTCTTCGAGAGCTTGCCTAGAGTAAACGTGTGCCGCTCGTTGAACGCCGGCGACGTCTGCCGCGGCGCCACCTGCGTGGTGAACCGCTCGTCGTCGTACCGCACAATAACGTACGGATCCACCTTGGCCGAGTCAGACACGTTCTCCAGCCGGAGGACCTCGACTTCCACCTGCTCGCCGACCATGGCCTTGGCCCGCTCCGACTCGGGCAGCGCGTCGACCGTTGCGGCGAGAGTCGTCCCGTGGTTGAGCGCGTTGTCGACAGGCACCTCGCGTGAGGTGTGGGCCAGATCCTCCGGCGGCTCCAGCGACTCGAGCCGGAGCCGCACCTCGCCGCTCACCTCTTCGTCGGCTTGGCGCGGGAGGAGCGGGATCCAGACGTCGACCGGTGGCGCGCCGTCGGGCACGTCGTACGCCGCCACCCGGATCCGGGCCTGTCCCAGAAACGTCGACGAGAGCATGCCCTTGGACCACATCTCGAGCTTGGCAAAGTGCGTTCCGAGCACAAACGGCAACTTCCACGTCGCTTCGGCAAGCATCTGTGCGCCCTCCCACGTCGGCGAGAGCGACTTCTTCACCACAGGCGTCCGGTACTTCTTGCCGTCGTACCGCAGGAACCCGTACGGGCTCGCCGAGTTGGACGACACAGCCTTGAGCCCGCGCGCCTCCACAAGTGTCATCCGCAGCATCGACAGCGCAATCTTGATCCGCAGCTCGCCGCACGCCGGATCGTCCTTGCCCGGTCGCGAGACGAGCGGCAGCCAGATGGCCCCGGTCGACACCGCATCGTCGTCGAGCTGCGAGAGGTTGTACTCGACAATGCCCAGCGTCGAGTTGCCCAGCGTCTTGTCCGCAATCACCTCAAAGGTAAAAACATCGTCCTTGTCGTCGTCCTTCAGCTGGAACGCCGCGTGGTAGTCAAACCGCGGCTCGCGCGACTTGTTCGCCGTCTCGGTCGTCTCCTTCTTGCCGCGGTACTTGATCTTGACAAACAGCGACCGTTCCTTCTCTCCGTCCATCACTCTGCGCGCTTCGTACACATGCACTACCACCCGTCCCGTCAGCTTGCGCTGTGACAACCATGGTCATCCGCCATCATTCACATTGCCGGTCATGACATCGCGTGACAATGGTCGCAAACGCAAGCCACCGCCACCGCCACCGCCACCGCCCGCCGCCGTTCCGGAACCGACACCCAGCCACATGTACCGCCCGCCACGACGTACAACATCATTCCCACACCTGTAAGTCAGCACCTACTTGCAAGCATCTATCTTCTACCTCCATGCCAACTCTCACTTTCCACACCTGTCTCATTCGTACGGTAGCGCCATCGGCAGCGTCGCTGTCCGAGTCGTGGTCGGGGTCGGTGGTGGCATGCTCGGCCGCGAGGCCATTCGCACCTGCCGCAGAGGCCGTCTCCTCGTGGGTGGCAGCCATAGCAGGAAAGAGAGGGGGAGGGGGGGGGGGTGGATATACGCTGGGGTAGTGCGAGGGGAGAGGGGGGTCGGTGGTCGTCGCAGCCGGAGAGAGGTGGCCGTCAGCATCAGCATCATCACTAGCATAAGAGGCCGATGTGGTGCCTGCTGCTGTTCGTTTGTTTCAGCAATCATGTGGCAGCCGAGGCGAGAGAGCGTCCAAGGCAAATATATTTTTGTGGTTCAAGGTGGTTGGGATGGAAGCGCAAGCAGATGCTGCTCTGTGCTTCCGCAATGACGTAGTGAGACACACCATGATACCCGGTTCAAGTATTTGTTGTGCTCTATGAGCTTCTTTTCGTTGCGCACTCTGATGTCGCCATCGATCGACAGGTAGCCCAACGCTGCAGGAGCCACTTTTTCTCACCGCTTCATTCTGGAACAGTTGCTCGAACGCCGGCTCACTCAGGCCACGCAAGCAATGATCGACAAGCCAGTTGATAACAAGCACAAATAGAGGATGGCTACAATTGCTGCTTGCATAAACCTCTCCCATCGACAGCAACATCATCCCGCAGAACACTGCTCCATCAGTGCGAAAAATAGGAAGACACTATTCGTGGGAACCACCTGCTAGCCAACCCGCACACATCCGTTGATTTGGATCGTGGGGGGGGAGGGGGGTCTGTGACGTGTGTATGTATATGGGGTGCAGGAGGGGCATGTACGTGTGTGTGTGTGTGTGTGTGTGTTTGTGTGTGTGCATGTGAGCAATGTGAGTGTGCTACGGTTTGGGAGCCACACGAGATAAAGATCTCCCAGATCACACACTCTCGCACCGACGCACCACACACGAGAAAGAGGCTTGAGTTTACGATTACTTGCAGCCACAGAAGAGGCAGTTACCAGGGCGAACATCAGTCTCGCGAACGCCAAAAATCTCGCGGAACATGATGACAAACATGACGGCGCCGATGGGGAAGGTGATGAGGACGCCGATGCCAAGGAAAAAGAGGCCGGAGAAAGCGACGGAGAAGCAGGCCATGAGGCCGGTGAGGACGGGCATGAACTGGCGGCGAGTCTGCATGATGGAGCAGCGGAGAGCCGATATGACGCCAAAGCCGCAGTTTGATGAGAGCTCGGACGGCTCGTTGGCGGCGCGGGCGGCGGCGCGGGTGAGCGGAGCGGCGCCCTCGCGGCCGTCGCGGTAGTGCTCCATGAGAATGAGCGGGGCAAAGACAACAAAGGCAAGGAGCGAAAAGAAGACCAGAGTGCAGAGCGAGAAGATGGCAAAGTCCCAGAACCAAGAGAGCGAGGTCTCCTCCAGCAGGTAGATGGTGGGCGAAAAGGTGATGAGGGCGACGCCGAACAGGCCTGCGGTGATGGCAAGGAGCGGGAAGAAGTAGGACCAAGCGGTAAAGACGTCGCCGAAGCGAGTCTCTCGGATGGCGAGCTCGCCGTCACGGATCGAGTTGAGGATCATGACCATGAAACCGTTGGTCATGTACCAGAAGACGAATGCGCCAAAGACGCGCGAGATGGCAACGACAAAGAGGAGGACAACGAGCACGCCGGTGAGGTTGAGCCAGTTGGCACGATACACCTCCCACGCGATATGGAGCCACTTGCGGAGATCGAGCTCGTACTCCCTCGCCGAGATGTACTCGATGTACGGCACGCCTGTCGGCACGTACTGCGCCACCGAGACCGCCGCCGGCACCCGCATGGCCATCTCCTCATCCTGGCGGGCGGCACCAACAGACCGACCTCCGCTTGAATACCCGGCGGCGCGTCATCATCGCCTCCAGCACCTCCAGCTCCATCACCTCCTTCCACCACATTGTGGCCATCATCATCACCGTCGTCGTCGCCGCTCTCGTCGAGGGCAGCCGACTCGGGCTCGGTGCCAATGCCGAGCTCAATGTCCTCGGCCGTGGGTTCGTGCGGCTCTGCGGAGAGCGGTTGGTACATAGAGAGGAAGGGGGGGGGGGGGGAGAGGGGTGGCTGTGTGTATACGGGTGGTGGCTGGCTGTGGCCTGGTCAGGCTGTTGCGGAATGCGGTCGTGGTCGTCGGCAAGAGGTCGGAATGGGACACTCGGCGGCTTTGATCCGCCTATGATCTTGCTCGGCAAGCTGAACAAGAAGGAGCGCCGCAAGCGAGCGATGGAGCTGCGGAGGTATGTCAGCATCGGCGATCGCATCCCCCATCTGCCGCCCCGAGCTGTCCGGGGTTAGCCGCAGCGCGTGGCCATTGCCCGCGCTCTTGGCAACCGGCCGGAGCTGGACGGATGCTCGCCAGCAAGACAAGGCATGGCCGGCGGACACGGTTCATCGGATGTGTTACCAGGAAACAGAAGCCTTCATACAAGGGCGGCTAGAAAGTCGGCGGCGGTGCATCGTAGCTTGGCGGTGGCGGCCCAGCCGAGGGAGCAGCGGCGGATGAGGACGGGGCGGCGGTGGTGGGCGGGTTGGGCGCGATGCCGTGCTTGGCGTAAAAGTCGAGGACCTGGCGCGGGACCTCGTGGAGGGTAGCCTGGGCGAGGTATGCTGGATCGACGGCCTCAAAGTCGCGAAAGGGCACAAACTGAACAATGTCACGCTCGGCGTAGACTCCATTGGCGGAGAGGCGGACGTCATCGCCGTCGAGCTGCTCCATGTTGGAAAAGTCTGCGCCGCCGACGCCGACGATGATGACCGAGATGGGAAGGTTGGCGGCCTGGACGAGGGCGGCCTTGGTCTTGGCCATGTCAGTGATCTCGCCGTCGGTGAGGATGAGCAGGATAAAGTAGTTTGCTTGGCCTGCGAGTTGACGGCGGTCTGGGCGAGTTCGATGACGGCGTGGATGAGCGGCGCAAAGTTGGTGGGCCCATGTAGGGCAAGGAACTGGAGCGAGTTGCGGTAGGCCTGGACTACGGCGGGCATACCGTGGATGGCGACGGGCGCCTGGGTGCCGGCGACCGGGAAGCAGAACGAGGTAGCGCCTGTGGGGAGCCGCGCGCCAAAGCCGAGGGTGGGGAATTCCTGGTCGTGGTCGTAGGGTCCAACGACGGCGCCGACGGCAGTCATCGCCTTCTCGTACGCGTTGGGCTCGTACGGCGAGAGGTAGTGGAGGCTCGACGGGTTAGCTGGGTTCCCGTTGGACGCTGTGTAGTCGATGCCAATGATGAGATTCATCTCCAGCCCGCCGGCGAGGTAGTCGATGAAGCTCGGCTTCTCGATGACCTCGATGGACATGACTTCGAGGATGCCCGAGTTGCGGTACTTTTTCTTCTTCTGCTTCTTTGGGTTGATGAGCTCGAGCTCGCGGGCCTGGTCTGGCGAGCAGAGCATGGTGAGCGTGGTTTGGAAGGCGCCGATAAAGTCGGGCGAACCGCGCTTGTCGTAGTCGTAGCACTCGATGCGGATCGGACGCTCGTAGTCGGCGTTGCAGAGGGTAGCCATCGGGACTTCAAACGCCCGCCACGTCGGGTTGAGCGTCTTGGGCACGACCTCGGTCTTGTGGATGGGCTGCCAGTCGTCGGCGGCGCCGGCGCGCAGCCGCGAGATGATCAGGTACGGGTCGGACTTGCCGAAAAAGTCCATCTTGTCGAGGTTGTGCCCGCGGATCTGCATGCGGACGGCCGAGTTGGAGTTGGACGGCTCCTCGGCGGTGATGCGGATGGAGCCGTTGCGGCGGCCGGGCACCTTTGCGTTGACCAGTTGCAGCTCGAGCGACATGCCACTGGCGCCGACAACACTCGAGAGCTTGAACTCGGCGTCGCCGATGTAGTCGTGCTGGCGGTAGTCGCTCACCGAGCTCACGTGCTCGTCGATGTCGAGGACGGCGACACGGAAGGTCTGGACCTTTTCGAAAAAGTACGAGACGTTGAGCGCGGTGTGGAACCGCGGGTTGAGATCATTCATGATCTTCTCTGTCCGGCCGACTTCGGCAAAGCCCTGGCCCGGCGGGTCGCGCTTGGCGAACAGCACCACCATGGGGTCCGACTTTGACATGTGGTCCAAGTTTGCGAGGTTGCTGTTGACCAGGCGATCGCGAGTATGACCACGAGTGCGATTACGGGTGCGACGACGAGTACGACCACAACCACGAGTACGGGTGCGACGACGAGTACGACCACGGGTTCGACCATGAGTGCGAGTACGACGACGACCACCACGACGACGAGTGCGACCATCATCTCCCACCATGAGTCCCCCTCCCATCCCTCCCCTTCCCTATCCCCCTCCCTCTCCAGCCTGGGCGTACCTGCACGAGAATCGCAGCTCCAGCCGGGTGACCAGGTCGTCGGTTGTGCCTGCCGTGCCTGCAGCTGGAGGGGCAAAGGCAGCCATGGGTAGCAGAAGCAGGAGAGTACGAGCTGAAGGGGGGGTGCACCACAAGGGAAGTAGGGATGTCTTTCGGTTGCTACTCTGGAGATAGCTGGAGGTACTATCCTCTTTGTCTTCTCCTGCTGTCCGCTGCCGCGCCTCCCTCGCCCTCCCTGCCTGCCCGGTCACCTCATTCCAAGTACTGTTTCCGCCCACCAACGATAACTGGCACAACAACCAACGATTAATCCCCCCAACCTCACCCAGCGATAACTGGCACAACAACCAACGATTAATTCCCCCAACCCCACTCAACGATAACTGGCACAACAACCAACGATTAATCCCCAACCCCACTCAACGATAACTGGCGACAACAACCAACGATTAATTCCCCCAACCCCACTCAACGATAACTGGCACAACAACCAACGATTAATCCCCCCCAACCCCACTCAACGATAACTGGCACAACAACCAACGATTAATCCCCCAACCCCACTCAACGATAACTGGCACAACAACCAACGATTAATTCCCCAACCCCACTCAACGATAACTGGCACAACAACCAACGATTAATTCCCCCAACCCCACTCAACGATAACTGGCACAACAACCAACGATTAATTCCCCCAACCATCGTCCGTTGCTGCTCGCGCTCGCGCCAACACCAGCCACTCCACGCCACGCTCCACCCCCTCCACCCCCTCCACCCCCTCCACCCCTTCCACTATGGCCGCACCCTTTGACATAGACCCCCAACTCCTAGTACGCACCCCCTCCCTCCCCTCCCCTCCCTCCCCTCCCCTCCCTACCCCCGCCCACCCCACTAACCTCGCCTCCGCCCAGGCCGGCCGCAAGGGCCACTCGCGCGCCTTGTACGCCATGGAGCTGCGGGCGTTCCGGAGACTGGAGGAGAACACCCAGCGGATCTCAGAGGCTATCGACGAAGCCGAACCCGACGGTGCTCCCAACTCTTCGAGTCACGGCGCTGGAGAGCCCCTCGTTCATCATGATGGCGCTCTGGTTCGGCGGGCCAAGGCCCAGCGCCGGGCTCGCCGCAAGCCGCAAACACTGGCCATCAAGATGCCTACCATCCTCGCGCACCCGCCGGCCCGCCCGCCGCTCTCGTCAGCGCTCAAGCAGAAGCTTGCTGACCACGATCTCGACAAGCACTCGCCCGACAGGCGCGCCGCCCGTTCCTCCGGCCTTCGCTACCACTACCCGCCGGCTCTGCCCGAGGTCCTTGGCCAGCGCACCCTTCCCACCATCGCGTCTGACGCCAAGGCTGCGCCGCCGGCCCGCATTCTCGGCATACCTTCCGCTCGAGCTTTTTGACGACCGGACCTTTGAGCTCTACACACCCGACGAGTGGCTCGCCCGCGGTGGCCCGGCTGGCCCGCCCACTGCCCCGCACGCCTTCTCGCCCTTCCTCAACGCCGCCGGCGAGTACGAGTGGCACCCGTGTGACGTTGTTGACTATGACCCCGTCTCCAACACCTTTACCATCGAGTTCAAGCCGTCGCGGGTGACCAAGCGCGTCAAGCGCCTCAACCTGCTGTTTGCCGACGAGCCCGACGCAAACTTTCGCCACCGCCTCCTCGCCGCCCGCGCCGCCCGCCGCTCCGCCGAGGCTACCATGCGCTACCACCTTGTCGCCAATCGGCTCCCCGACGAGATCCTGCCGCCGTCCGCAGACACCATCGCCGCCATGCTCCGCCGCGCCGCGCCGGCCTTTCCACTCTCGGCCATGTCCACGCTCGAGGCTCTCCTTGACGACATCGTCGCCCACTACATCTCCACCATGCGCCGCGCCATCTTTGGCTACACCCTCAAGTCATCTTCCGAGCTGCGGGACCGACTCGCCCCGCTCGGCCTCCCGCCGCTGCCAGACCCGCCGCCGCCGCCGCTCTACGGTACCGTCCCCTGCCCGCCCTTTGACTTGCCGGCCGCCGTCAACTGGGCCTCCGCACAGCTGTTCTTCCACCCACGCATCAACTACGTCCTCCAGACCCTCTTCACCTTTGCCCAGAACATGGACTCACTCTGCCTTGTCGACCTCAATCTTCCGCGTGCAGCCCTCCCGCTCGCCATTGGCGACTTTGAGGACTTCCAAGCCCGCCACGCCGACCGCGTTGCCATCGTCCTAGACGACTGGGCAAAGAAAATCGTGCTCCTTTGCACCACCGTCCTTGAAGACGAGGCCGACAAGACCTTTGACTTTCACGTCGCCGCCCTCGCCGACCTCGACCCGCACGCCGCACGCTTCATCCTCCTCCTTCGCCTCATCATGCGCGAGCACCTTATCGTCGCCGTCAACACCACAGCCGCACGCTACGCCGCCTTCTTCGCTGCCTACGACGAGCCCGAGCTCTCTACACTCACGTCGACTTTCCTCACTCAGATCGCCGACTCGGGCTATGACGGCGATGCCGGGAACGGCCTCACAGGCGGCGACGGCGACGATGAACACGATGTTGACGACGGCAACGCCGGCGACGACCAAAGCGCCGAATCTCGCCTCCCGCGCCCACCCGGTCACCCGGCGCCTTCCCGTCCATCCGCCCGCGCCCGTGTCCGCGCTCGCGCTCGTGACCGTGCCCGCTCTCGCCCGCGCTCCTTCCACGACTACATCCATGCCATCTCGAGCCACACCCCACTTTTCCTTGTCTCGCTCATGGCCACGCCCAACTCGGCATCGGCAGCCGTCGCCGCTGTTCCTCTGCAGACGGCGACACAGGCAGACGGGACAGAATCTGACGGAGATACGGTAGACTCGGACGCCGAGTCGGTTTCGGGCACAGGCTCGGCCTCTCCGGAGCCACACAACGCGGCAGACTCCTCGGATGTCACCTTTACCATCCCACAGCTCCTCTCGCCGGCCCCCAAGCACGAGACGCCGTTGGAGGCACTCATCCGGTTCTCGCCGCCGCTCACCGAGCTCTCGGCCCGGGTCGCCACCACCTTTGACACCTCGCTCTCGCTCATCGATCGTGTCACCGCTGTCGAATACTCGCTACTCCCGCGGGCCTCGCTCTCACTCCCCCATCCGCCGCCGCCAGTCTTCCCGGTCGACCGCTACGACTCGGTCCTCCTCGAGGCGACCCGCTCGGTGGCGTCGACGTTCAACTCGGGCCTCTGGGGCCCGCGCCGCCTTGCCCGCCTCTTTGCGCCCTACGCCTACATCCTCGCCCTCACCCCGCAGTCGCTGGCCGCCACCCTCACGTCGGCCTCGCCGCCGCCGGCGCTCGCCGACCTCAAAGCCCTAATCGTCAAGTTCCGTGCCGCAGCCGCAAACGTCGCTTCCACCACGCCAGACGCCGTCACCTTTAAGCTCCTCCGCGTCGACACGACCCACCTCAAGTCGACCATTGCTGCCCGCGCCGCCAAGCTTGCTCGCGCCGTCCTCGCCTTTATTCTTCACGGCGCCCGTCGCAACATGGTCTCTCTCTGTGCAGAGTTTGAAGCCATCCACGCCCGCATCCAGGCACCGGCCGCATCGCCGGAAGAGTGGGCCCAGATGCAGGTCTACTGCAAGGCCTGCGACACTGCGCTAACTCAGCACGCCGCCGCCATCGAAGACCTCAAGGCGTCAATGGACACCCTCTACACCTTTTCCTACCCGGTCTCTGCAACCGTCCAGTCCTCGTTTGTCACCACCCTCATGTGGCCGCGCGAAGTTCGCCTTGCCCTCGTCGACCGTGAAGTTCTCCTCCACGACGAGCGCAACACGCTCCTCGCCACCGTCGCCGCCCAGGCCGCCGCCCTCAACGCCACCATCACCTCCCTCGCCAAGGACATTTCCGCCCTCGAGGACCTTGATGACATCTCGGCTGCCGCCGCCAACGCCGCCACCGTTACCGCCCTCCACCAGGCCATCGCCGCCGCCCGTGCCGATCGTACTCTCCTCAACTCACGCCAGGCCCTCTTTGAGCTCCCGGTCCTCGACTTTCCGGTCCTCGACGCCCTTGCAGACTCGCTCGAGCCACACTACGCGCTCTGGCCCATCGCCGCTCAGTTTGCCGTCGACGCCGAGTCGTGGCTCGAGGGCTCGTTCATCAAGCTCGACGCTGCAGCCATCACTTCGCGTGTCGAGTCGTGGTCGCTCGCCGTCAACCAGCTCTACCACCACAAGTTTGGCTCGTCGCCCGGCCCGGCCGCCGTCGCTCGTGCCCTCAAGCTCGCCCTTGACGACTTCCGCTCACATCTCTCGCTCGTCAACGCGCTCCATGCCTACATTGCCCCGTCTGACCGGTACTGGGAGCTCATCAATGAGCGCCTCGCAGGAGCAGAGACACCGCTTCCGCCGCTCGCCCCCACCCTCAATCTCACCCTCAAGTCGCTCCTCGACGCAGACTACAAGACCGCGCTGCCAGACATCCTCGCTGTCGCCGAGCTTGCAGGCTACGAGCGCAAGCTCCAGCGCGACCTCGACCGCATGCAGGCTGCGCTCAACAAGCTCACCTTTGACATTTCTGAGCACGCCTCGACCCGCGCCCCGGTCCTCCGCAACTCCGAGGCTATCGCCGAGCTGCTGGAGGACCAGCTCATCAAGACGCAGACCATGCGCTCGTCGCCGTTTATGCACGATGCGCTGGAGCGCTCGCTCACCGCCTGGGAGGCCGCCCTCAACACCACCCAGGAGTTTCTCGACGTTTGCATGACCGTCCAGCGCTCGTGGCTCTACCTCGAGCCCATCTTTGGCTCCAAGGACATCTTCGCACAGATGCCTGCAGAGGGCAAGGCCTTTGCCAAGGTCGACTCTATGTTCCGCGCGGCCATGAAGCGCATGGCAAACTCGCCCGAGGTCGGCAACCTCCGCTCGCGCACCTTTCAGCTCCGCGACTTTCATGCGGCAAACCTTATTCTTGACGACATCCTCTCCAAGCTCAAAAAGTACCTCGACGCCAAGTGCGCTCTCTTCCCGCGCTTCTTCTTCCTCTCTTCTGAGGAGCTGCTCGAAATCCTCTCGCACACCCGCGATCCCGACGCCGTCCAGCCGCACCTCAAAAAGTGCTTCGAGAACATCGAGTCGCTCACCGCCGCCCCGCGCCCGCGCCCCGCGCTCGTCCCAGCCTCGGCCACCGAGCTCTCACCGCCGCCTTCGCCATCGTCCCCGTCGTCGCCTGCCTTGCCCCCCTTCGCCGCCCCACCATTCACCCACATGGTGAGCTCCGAAGGCGAGTCGGTCCCGCTCCTCCCGCCGGTCGTCCCGTCGACATCGGTCGAGTCATGGCTCTCCGACCTCGAGACTGCCATGCGAGCCGCCGTCAAGTCGCAGCTCGCCCTCTCACTCGCTGCCTCGCCATCGCCGCGCACTGAGCGCGCCGCCTGGCTCCCCCACTGGCCCGGCCAGATCGTCCTCGCCGTCGCCAACATCATCTTCACCGAGGCCGTCGAGTCGGCGCTCGCCGTCCTGCCTACCCAGCGCGACGCACTCGCGCCGGTCATTGCCGCCGCCGCCGCCAAGCTCACGGAACTCATCGACCTCGTCCGGAGCGCCGAGCTCTCGCCTTCGCTCGCCATAACGCTCCAGGCCCTCGTCACACTTGACGTCCACCACCGTGACGTTCTCGCCGCCCTCGACACCGCAGACTCGCCTTCGTTTGTGTGGGATACCACCCTCAAGTCTTATTACAACTACGATGCTTCCGAGCTCACCATCTCTATTCTCGCCGCATCGCGGAGCTACGGATACGAGTACCTCGGCAACACTTCGCGGCTGGTCATCACCAACCTCACCTCGCGGTGCTACGCCACGCTCATGATGGCGCTGCACTTTAACCTCGGCGGCGCGCCGCAGGGCCCGGCAGGGACCGGTAAGACCGAGACGTGCAAGGACCTCGCCAAGGCGCTCGCCAAGCAGTGCGTCGTCTTCAACTGCTCTGAGGGCCTCAACTACAAGGCCATGGGCAAGTTCTTCAAGGGCCTCGCCTGGGCCGGCGCCTGGGCTTGCTTTGACGAGTTTAACCGCATCGAGCTCTCGGTCCTCTCGGTCATTGCCTCGCAGATCCTCACCATCCAGCACGCCATCCTCCTCAAGCGATCGCACTTTTCGTTCGAGGGCGACTACATTGCGCTCGACCCGTCGTGCGCCATCTTCACCACCATGAACCCGGGCTACGCTGGCCGCACCCATCTGCCGGACAACCTCAAGGCGCTCTTCCGCCCGGTCGCCATGATGACGCCCGACTACGCCGCCATTGCCGAGATCATTCTCGTCTCCTTTGGATTTGCTGACTCGCACACGCTCGCCGCAAAGGTCACTGCCACCTTCCGCCTTGCCTCGGAGCAGCTCTCGTCTCAGCACCACTACGACTTTGGCCTCCGTGCTGTCAAGGCCGTCCTTGTCGCCGCCGGCGCGCTCCACGCCGCTGCCCGCACTGCAGGCCCACCGTCGGCCTCGGTCGAAGCCGCTATCGCCCTGCAGGCGCTGCTCGACTCGAACATGCCCAAGTTTACCTCGGACGACGCCCTCTTGTTCCGCGGCATCGTCTCCGACCTCTTCCCGGGCCTGGCCTCGGCAACAGCGTCAAGCAAGGCCCCGGGCTCGGCTCTCGCGCGCGCCCTCCGCGCCACCATGGCTGCCGCCCATCTTGCGCCATCGTCGTTCATCGTCTCCAAGGCGCTGCAGCTCCATGAGACCACCGCGCTTCGCCATGGCATCATGCTTGTGGGCGCATCGGGCTCCGGCAAGTCGACTGTGCTCAACACCCTAGCCACCACCCTCACTGCATCAGGCTCGCACGTCTCGGTGGCGGTCGCCAATCCCAAGTCGGTCTCGTCGGCCCACCTTTACGGCAAGCTCGACCTCGAGACCCGCGAGTGGTCCGACGGCATTCTCTCCCAGCTCGTCCGCGCCGCCGTCCGCGGCCCGGCAGACACCTCGCACTGGATTGTGCTCGATGGGCCGGTCGACCCTGTGTGGATCGAGTCGCTCAACACCCTCCTCGATGATAACAAGAAGCTCTGCCTCTCGTCGGGCGAGATTGTCAAGCTCACGTCCAACGTCACCATGCTGTTCGAGGTCGACTCGCTCGCGGCTGCCTCACCGGCCACCGTCTCGCGCTGTGGCATGGTCTATCTCGACGCTGCCGACCTTGGCTGGCAAGTCCTCACCGACAGCTATGTGGCGACCCATCTCCCTCCTGCGCTGGCCTCCGCGACTCATCTGGTTGCCCGCATCAAGGCACTTGTCCACTCGCTCCTCTCTCCGGCGCTTTCGTACGTGGCCGCCGCCTCGCCCGACGCACTCGCGCCACTCGATGCATGCCTTCAGACTCAGCTGGCGCCTGCGCCCAACGCGCTTGTGAGCTCGTTCCTTGGCCTCTTTGACGCTCTTCTCTGCGAGTGGCGCGACGAGAGCCACAGCACCATTGCCGAGCGCGACCGCAAGACCTGGATCGAGTCGGTATTTGTCTTTGCCCTCGTCTGGTCGCTCGGCGCTGCCTTTGCCTCGGCCTCAGCACGGACTGCGTTCTCCGACTTTGTCCGCTCGCTCACCGACCCGTATCGCGGCGGCGGCGGCGGTGGCGGCTCTAGCGGATCCGCGGCCACGGGCGGCCAGGCACAGGGCGGCCCGGCTCTGGTGCGGCCGTTCCCTAACGACGGCACCGTTTATGACTACGCCTTTTCCAAGGGCGCCGTCCGCTGGGTCTCCTTCCTCACCGCCGCGCAGGACGAGCTGCTCTCGGCAGCCATTGGTCTTGTGCCCCACTCGCTCTCACCCGATGAGGCGTCGGAGGACCAACTCTCGTTCCGCGACATCATTGTGCCGACTCCGACGACGATTGCCACCTCGTTTGTTCTTGCCACCCTGATCGGCTCGACAAGCCCCGCGCCGCTGCCGCGCCGACCGCTGGTGGTGGGCGTGACCGGGACCGGTAAGTCGCTGCTGGTTCGGTCGACGTTGGCGCACCTGTCGGCCACCGCGCCCGAGGCTACCGCCTCGCTCGCCATCAACTTTTCAGCGCACACGCCGGCGTCAGAGCTACTTGCCATCATTGCTGGCCGGCTGACCAAGGCTCGCAAGGCAGTGTACAGCCCTGCGCCTCCGGCCTCGCGGCTGGTTGTTTTTATCGACGACCTCAACTTTCCCGAGCCCGACGAGTACGCCTCACAGCCGCCCCTTGAGCTGCTGCGCCAAGTCATCGACTCGGGCGGATGGTACGCCGCGACCAAGGCCGGCCACGAGTTCCAGACCGTTCTGGGCACCTCGTTTGTCGGCGCCATGGGCCCACCTGGTGGTGGGCGCCATGAGCTCTCGCCGCGGCTGTTACGGCACTTTACCCCTGTGGCAGTGCCGGAGGCCTCGACGGCGACGATGATTGCCATCTTCCGCGCGCTCTCGGACCGCTACGCTACCCGGTTCCCCCACGCAGTGAGAGCTCAGCTCAATACCCTAGTCTCGGCCTCGGTTGCGCTGTTCAACGCTGTTGTCACCACTTTTCTTCCCACGCCCACCAAGCCGCTCTACGGGTTCAACCTCCGCGACCTCTCGGCACTCTTTGAGGGCATTCTGGTGTTCGCAGATCCGCGGCCGCTCGATGACTCGCAGTCGGAGCTCCTCGGGCTCTGGGCTCACGAAGCCTCAAGGGTCTTTGGCGACCGTCTTGTGTCGGCGGCAGACTCGGCAGCATTTTCTGACCTCCTAGCCACCGTCACCCGTGAGCACTTTAAGCGGCCGCTCGGCGCCGTGATCGACGAGCTCACTTCCCAGACCGACGGCGCGCTGTTGTATGGGCCACTCAACGATGCTGGGTCTTACGCGCGGGTCGCCGCGCTCGACCATGCGACGTCGACGATGGACGCATTCATTGCCGACGCCGCGCTGACGTACCCCAACGACATGGCGACGTGCATTCTGCATCCGGACGCGCTTGCCCACGTCCTTCGTGCCTACCGCGTGCTCTCGCGGCCGCGTGGCCACCTGCTCGCGGTGGGCATCGGCGCCGCAGCACAGGCACGACCTCTGGTCCTCCTCGCTGCTTCGGTCGCAGGCTACAACGTATTCCAGGTCCAGCTCTTCAAGAACTATGCAGTCTCCGACTGGCGCGAGCGGCTCCGTGAGCTCTTCCTCTCTGCCGGGCTCGGGAGCACGCCGGTGGTGTTCCTTCTCGACGACGCGCAGCTGGTCAACGACACATTCTTGGAGGACGTGAACAACATTCTCAACCACGGGCTGGTGCCCAACATCTTTGACGCCAGCGACATGGCAACCATCCGGACAACACTCGCCAAGTCGCTGTCAGGGGGACTCGGCGGGCCACCACCAACCACGAGCAGCGTTGGCGCTGCGGTGCCAGGCACTCCTGTCGGCTCGGCCGCCGGTGGTGGCGCCGGCGTGCTCGGTGCAGGCAACCTTGGCGTCGTCGACGAGAGTTTCACCGACGAAGACGCGCTGTTTGCGAGTATGGCAACAGCAGTGGCTAGCGGAGGCGGAGCGGGCAGTGGCTCGGGCACAGTGCCACCGGCGGCCGCACTCACCAACCGCCAGGCACTGGACATGCTCACAGCGCGACTGCGGGCGAGTCTGCACCTAGTCATTACCCTGTCACCGACGACGACCAGCTTTTCGTCGCGAATCCGTCGGTTTCCCGCGCTGGCCTCGTGCTGTACCGTCGACGTGTACCACCCACTGCAGCCGTCAGCGCTGCGGACTACGGCTGAGGTCATGCTCGCCGACGTGGGCTCGCTCCCGCGCGACGACGTGGAGCCGATAATCAGGGCGATGCTCGCGTTTCACGAGTCTGCGACCGAGCTGGCGCCGTCGTTTGCGACGGCGACGCGGCGGCAGTACCACGTGTCGTCGGTCACGTTCCGCGAGCTTGTGGGCCTGTTTGGCAAGTTGTACGCCGATCGGCGGGCGTCGCTGACCCGGGCGCGCGAGCGGTATCTGACCGGGCTGGAGAAGCTTGCCGAGTCTGCGGCGACCATCGAGGTGATGGAGCAGCGGCTGCAAGAGCTGCGGCCGCAGCTGCAGAGCGCGTCGCGGCAGGTCGACACCCTCCTTCGCAAGCTGACCAAGCAGGCGAGCTCTCTGGCCGAGGCCAAGGCCACGGTCGATGGCGCCGTGGCAGAGGCGTCGGCGCGCGAGGCAGAAGCCAAGGTCATCTACGGCGAGTGCGAAGACGCGCTGGCAACCATGTACCCGCAGCTGCAGGCGGCCAACGCGGCACTGTCGCGGCTGAAGAAGAAGCATGTCGACGAGATCCGGACGATGAAGAACCCGCCCGAGGCGGTCAAGGTTGTGATGGAGGCCGTGACGGTTTTGCTGCGGGTCAAGGTCAAGACCAGCTACGTGAACGGGATCAAGGTGGCGGACACGTGGCGAGCGGCGCAAAAGATGCTCCTCAAGCGCGGCTTCATCAAGTCGCTCCTCGAGTACGATGCCGACAACATCCCGGAGGCGCTGATGGACCGAGTGCGGGTCATTCTCGAGTCGGAGCACTTTACACTTGAGGCCATCACCCGCGCTTCGGTGGCAGCAACCTCGATTGGGCTGTGGGTGTCTGCGGTGGAAAAGTATCACCGAGTGGTTCAGCTGGTCAAGCCGCGGCGAAACAATCTCGCGGCGGCCCAGGCGCAACATGCGAGCGTGCTCGGGCAGCTCAACGAGAAGCGTGCCGAGCTCGACTCACTGGTGGCGCAGCAGGATGCGCTTCAGGCTGAGTACGACGGGGCTGCGGCGCGGAAGGCGCAGCTGGCCAATGACGTCGATCAGTGCGAGGTGCAGCTATCGCGGGCACAGCGATTGATGTACGGCCTCAACCTGGAGAAGCAGCACTGGCTTGACGCTGCGGAAGCTCAGGCGTCTGCGCTCTCGCACGTGGTGGGCGACACGCTCCTCGCGGCAGCGTGTGTGGTGTACCTCGGCCCGCTCACGTCAGAGTTCCGGGCGACGCTGCAGGATGCGTTTGCGTCGTCGCTGAGCGTTGCGGTCTCACCCGACTACTCGCTCTCGAACATTCTCTCCTCGCCGCTGGAGATCCGGGCGTGGCACTCTTTCGGGCTGCCGCGCGATGCGACGTCGACCCAGTCGGCGCTCATTGTCAGCCTCTCGCGGAACTGGCCGTTTATGATCGACCCGCAGGGCCAGGCCAAGGCGTGGATTACCGGGCTTGAGCGCGAAGCCGGACTGGTGGCGGTCAACGCCCAGTCCGAGTCGCTCCTGCTCACTCTCGAGCGGGCGATGCTGGGCGGCGTGCCGACGCTGCTCTACGGCGTTGGCTCCGAACTGGATCCTGCGCTCGACCCGCTGCTTGCGCGGGCTTGGACTAAGATCGGGGCGCGCACCGTGATCCAGCTCGGTGCCGAGCACGTCGACGTCAAGTCCTCGTTCCGGCTCTACATCACGACGTCGCTGCACAACCCGCGGCTGCGGCCGGAGCTTGCAGAGCTGCTAACGGTGGTCAACTTTGCGATCACGCCGACGGGACTGGCGGACCAGGTGCTCTCGCTCGCGATGTCTGTAGAAGCGCCGGCGATGGAAGCGCAGAACGAGCAATTGCTGCTGGACTCGGTCAAACTCCGGCAGCAGCTCTCGGCGCTCGAAGACAAGGTGCTCGACCTGCTGTCGACCTCGCAGGGCAACTTTTTGGAGGACGATGTGCTCATTGAGACGTTGACCGACTCGAAGCGTGAGCACGATCTCCTCTCGGTCAAGCTCAAGAGCGCGCAGGGTGTGCGGGCGGAGCTGCGGCAGACGCGGTCTGCCTACGTGCCACTGGCGGAGCTTGCGGCCCTCCTCTTTGGCGTGCTCACTGACTTGGCTGCTGTCGACCCGATGTATCAGTTCTCGCTTGATGCGTTTACCTCTACCACGGTGGCGACGCTGCGGCGGACGCGGACGAGCGACCCGCGGCACCGGTTGACCGAGTTGGCGTCGAACCTGCGGCTGGACGTGTTCCGGGCAACGTGTCGGTCGCTGTACGAGCGGCACAAGCTGCTGCTGGCGCTGGTGATGGCGTTCCGGGTGTCGACGGCGCCTGTAGTTAGTGCTGCGAGCGAGAGCAAGGCCAGCAACTCGGTGCTCCAGTTTCCGCGGGCGAGCAAGGTGGGGCAAGGTCTCTCGCCGAGCTCGTCGGTGTCATCGATGGCGTCTGCAGGCTCTGGCGACGAGGCCGGGGCTGGCGCGCGGGGAGCATTTGAGAGTGCCGAGGTGGGCATGGGCGCAGAGCTGGAGGAAGACGTGGACGTGGCGGCCGCGGCGCGGATGGAAGCCGACGCGCGGCTTCACTTTCTCGCGACCGGCATGGTCGGGCTTTCGTCAGAGCCGACCGAGTCTGCGAGCGATCTAGCGGCGCAAGTCGCCGAGCTGCCGTTCTTGACAAGCGAGGCTGTGGCGCGTGCGGTGCAGCTGTCGCAGCTGGCGCCGTTTGCGACGCTGCTCAACCACTTGCACCTCAACAAGCAGTTCTGGCGGGCGTGGATGGCGAGCGGGACGCCGCACAGCATGAGCGTGCCCGGCCCGCTCGGCGAAGCGATGAGCGCCCTCGACACGCTGTTGCTTGTGCGGGCGCTCAAGCCCGAGGGAGTGGTGCCGGCAGTGCGGCACTATGTGGCCGAAGTGTTGGGGCCGTCGTTTGTGGAGCCGCCGGCATTTGACCTGGGGACATCGTTTGCGGCGTCGTCCCCGCAGCACCCGATCCTGTTCCTCATCTCGCCGGGGCTCAATCCCCTTGACGCGATCACGTCGTTTGCGCACGAGCGTGGTATGGGTCCGGCACTCGCGGTGTACTCGCTGGGCCAGGGCCAAGGTCCGATGGCACAGGCGGCGATTACGGCGGCACAGTCCAAGGGCACCTGGGTAGTGCTGCAGAACTGCCACCTGAATCTGGAGTGGATGCCGACGCTTGCGGCGATGCTAGAGGCGACGCCGCAGGACGTGGCGCCGGGCTTCCGACTCTGGCTCACCTCCAAGTCTGTGGAAGCGTTTCCGGTCTCGATTGCGCTGTCTTCGGTGACGGTGACGCACGAGGCGCCGGCGGGAGTGCGGGCGTCGCTGCTGGCGTCGTACGGCAAGGTGCAGGACGACATGTTCAACAACCCGGCTGTTGCGAGCGCCGGGCGCGAGGTTGTCTTCCGTAAGCTTCTATACGGGATCAACGCGTTCCACGCGGTTGTGGTGGAACGGCGCAAGTTTGGCCCGCTCGGCTTCACAATTCCGTACGAGTTTTCCGAGGCGGACCTCTCGATCTGCCAGCGGCAGCTTGTGGCTGCAATGGAAGAGCCCGGCGCCGACGGGCGGATTCCGTTTGAAGCGCTACACTACCTGGCAGGTGAGGTCAACTACGGCGGGCGGGTGACGGACGCGCACGACCGTCGGCTGTTGGCGGCGCTGCTGCGGACTTACTTTTCGCGGGAGGCGCTGAGCTCGGTCGTGCTGCCAGACGAGCCTGGGCTCGCCGAGTATGTGGCTCACATCAAAGCGTTGCCTGCGACTGATGCACCGGCGGTGTTTGGACTCCACGCCAACGCGCAGCTGACGGCGGCGCGAAACGCGACAAGCGAGCTGCTCGCGGCGGTTGTGGTGATGCAGCCGCGCGACGAGGCAATGCTAGGGCTCTCGCACGAGGAGGTGCTTGCGCACATTGTGACACGGGCGCGCGAGCTGGTGCCCAGCTCGCTGGCACGGAGTGGACTCCGTGACACGCTGACCGTCTCGTACGATGACACGTTGACGACGCTCCTGCTCCAGGAAATGGCCCGGTTCGACGAGCTGCTGGTGACGATTACTGACTCGCTGGTGGAGCTCGACGGCGCGCTGCGCGGCGAGTTCCTCTTTTCGGCGCGACTGGAGAAGCTCGGCGAGCAGCTGCGGAACCTGGCAGTGCCGGACGAATGGCTGGAGGTGTCGTACCCGACACTGGCAGGGCTGTGGGGCTACCTGGAAGATCTGGCTGCTCGGGTGGCGGTGCTGCGGGCGTGGGCGCGAGACGGCCCACCGGCGGTGTTTTGGCTCGCCGGCCTCTCCTTCCCGCAGGCGCTTCTGACTGCGGTCAAGCAGGACTTTGCGCGGTCGTTTGGGGTGCCAATCGACCGCGTCCGGTTCGCTTTCCAGGTCCTTGCACCGGACGCAGAGCCGGACGAGCCGCCGCCGTCCGGAGTGTATCTCTCGGGCCTCTTTCTCGACGGCGGGCGTTGGGATGCCGGCGCCGGGCAGCTGGTGGAGCAGGTCGACGGCGAGCTCTATCCACCGTTGCCGGTCCTTTGGCTCCGGCCGTACGACGTCGACGTGGAGGAGCCGACGAGCCGAGCCACGTACGCGGCGCCGCTGTACAAGACAGCGGCGCGGCGAGGCGAGCTCGACACCACAGGGCACTCGACCAACTACGTAGTCTCGGTCGACCTCCCCATCGCAGCAGCGCGCGACGTCGAGCACTGGGTCAAGCGTGGTGTGGCGATTGTGGGCCAGTACGCCAGCTGAAACCGGCTTGACGAGCATCTTTATTTGCAAAGTGATGGATAAACATCAATTCCGAGTCTGACATGGATCCGTCCGATAAGTGGCCACACTTGTCTGTCTTGCCCCCCCCCCCCCCCCCCGCCTCCCGTCCCGTCCCGTCCGCGAGCTTGTTTCGGCCGAGTCAGTCGACAGCAAATAGCCACAACAAGGACATGGGTGGTGATGCAGGCCTTGGATTCGGCGCAGCAGCCATTGCCGTCGTCTGCTTTGGTTCTAACTTTGTACCTGTGAAGAAGTTCCAGACTGGCGATGGCATGTTCTTCCAATGGGTCATGGTAGGTCGCAGTGTGGAGGGGGGCAGGGGAGGGGAGGGGGAGGGGGAGGGGTGGGGGAGGGGTCGCGTGCTGGAGGTGACCGTGCTGAAGAAATTGCCTGTGACGTGAGGGGAGGGGGGGGGGGGGGGGGAGGGGATAGAAAGAAGGGACTTATGGTGGGTCGAGGGCGGATGGCGGTATGGACATATGGTCTGTGGGGATTGTGTTGGCTGTGTTGGCTGTGTCGGCTGTGTCGGCTGCGTTCGGCTGTGTCGGCTGCGTTCGGCTGGGGGGTGGCTGCATTCGGCTCGGACGGGGACTCGGTCACGGGCAATGATGGCCTGGTGATGGGAATGTGGCGATGAACGGGTGGTGCTCGGGCTCTGGTGATGGACGTCTTTGTTAATGGGATGCGGTGGGGGTCACGGGGGAGGCAACAGTGCGCGGCCATCTTCTGTGCTGGTGTCTGCGTCAACGCTGTCCGCGAGTCGCCCGAGTTCCACTACTTGGCAATGCTCGGCGGCTTCTTGTGGTGTACAGGCAATCTGTTCTCGGTCTTTGTCATCCGCGCGGTCGGTCTCGGGCTCGGACTCTGCCTCTGGGGCTCGACCAACCTGATCATGGGCTGGGCCTCCGGCAAGTTTGGCCTGTTCGGCCTCGACAAGGAGCCGATTGCCAACCCGGGCCTCAATCTAGTCGGCGTTCTCGTTGCGGTCTGCGCCACCCTCGCGTTTGCGGCGGTCAAGCCCGACCTGTCGTCAGACGACGAATCACGGAGCCGCGAGTCACGGGGCTCAGGCAACGTGCTGGCGACGGTGGCCGGGCGTGGCTCGGGCGTGGCGCCTGCCGTCGGCGGCCAGAAACGGATCAACGCGGCGTCGCCCGAGACGGCACTGCTGGCCGGCGTTGCCGACCCGAGCGCATCGCCGTCGGCGGCGTACTACAATGTGGATGAAGAGGCGCTGTTCGGGTCACCGCGGCCCGGGATGGCAGCTGGCGACGGCGACGAGCGCGACGTCATCGACGCCATGGACCCGTTTCTCCGGCGCGCGCTCGGCATTGCCGCCGCGCTCCTCGCCGGCACCATGTTTGGTGTCAACTTTGACCCGCCCATCTGGCTCATCGACCACAACAAGGGCTCCAGCAATGCGGTCGACTACGTCTTTGCCCACTTTACCGGCATCTTTGTCACCTCGACGGTGTACTTTCTCGCGTACTGTGCGTACATGAGCAACGCGCCGGTGATCAACCCCAAGCTCGTCCTCCCGGCCTTTGCCTCGGGCCTCATCTGGGCCATGGCCGACATCTCGTGGTTTGTGGCCAACACCCAGCTCTCGCTTGTTGTCGCCTTTCCCATCGTCACCACCGGGCCCGGCATCGTGGCCTCGCTCTGGGGTGTGTGCGTGTTCAAGGAGATCCGCGGAACCCGCAACTTTGCCATTCTGGGCGCAGCCTTTCTCCTTACCATCATCTCGGTCACCCTCATCACCCTCTCGCGCAATTGAACACGCACCGAGAGCCGCCGGCACCACCGGTACAACACAACAGCGTCCGATTTAATGACGCGCCCCAGCTGCGGAGGCTATCGCCTAAAAGCCCACGTCATCTTCGTCGTCGGCAAAGACGTGCGAGTAGAGCAGGACCGAAGTGTAGAAGAGGACGCCGCCGGCCACAGCCATGACCATGGCCGGGACTTCGATGGCGTCGACATGAGCCAGGGTCATGGGCAGAGCAAGACCGGTGACAACGATGGCGCCAGTGAGGAAGAATCCCGAGTCTTTCCACCCGTTGCGGCCCTCGTCGAGCGAGAATCCCGAGGACGAGCCACGCTGGCAGGCGCCACAGAGGAGATTAGGCAGCGGAGCAAAGCCAAAGGCGACGATGACGACCATGGGCAGCCAGTTGCGCCAGATGACGCATGAGAGGACCACAAACAGCAGAGAGAGGGCAATTAGCGATGCAAGGATGATCAACCTGAGGACGGAGAGAGAGAGTGTGTGTGTGTGTGAGTGTGAGTGAGGGGGGGAGGGGGGAGGGGGTGGGGGTGGGGGAGGGGGAGAGGGGGGGCGTACTCTGTGTGTGAGGGGGAGAGGGAGGAGGAGGAAGGGGTGGGAATGAGGGAGTATGTGAGTATGGATGCGGTACGGGTGGTATGGGTATGGGTATGGTGGTGGTGGTGATGATTGATGTTGGTGGTGGTGATGGTGGTGGTGGTGATGGTGGTGGTGGTGGTGGTGGGTACGGTGGTCATGGCTCCAAGAACCATGTCTTCCCCCTCCCCCCCCCTCCCCCCCCCTCCCCTCCCCCATACCTTCCCCCTCCCCCCCCTTCCCCCCTCCCCTCCCCCTCTTCCCTCACATACTGTGAATGCCGGTGAGTGCCATAGTCACCAGGTGTGGTCGAGTGTACCGTGCGCTGTATTCCCCTACCTCCCTTCCCCCCCCCCCCCCCTGCTCCCCCTGCCACAGGTGGATGTGGTGGGGGATCCCTCCATCAGGCACACCGTGACCAGGCAACGGGGATGGTGTACGCAGCGGACGGGTACAGCGACCAGACTTCTTCACAACACACAAATAAAGGTATCAAATAGTAAACGTACGCTGAGCCTGGATGGCTGCCTTCAGATCGTTCACAGACTGGGCCTCGAACTCGCCAAGCGACTTGCCCTTGCGGGTCTGGACCGTGACGTGGACCATGGTGGGAATGGTTGGAGTTGGGTGGCCGAAGCCGAGTTGCGGGTCATGCCACTCACTGCCCCGCCCCGCCCACTGCCGGGCACTCGGCCGCTTCCTGGAGCGCACCACAGCAATCGGTTTTGCATCATTGCATCGCTGCATCGGCTATCATTGAGTTCATTGATTGGTCTTGCTGTAGACAATACGCTCATGCCCAGTGCCCGTCATAGCGCTCGCCCTGGTCACACTATCCGCGCAACTCGGCAAAGATCGCAGCATATCCTTCGCGGGCAACGCGGGCGGCGTTGATGACTGCTGCCTCTGAAAGCCCACCTTCGCTCTCCTCCTCCCAAACAGTGGTGCATGGCACGAGTTTGAGCTCGGATTGGGGGCCCGAGACCAGTGGCTCGAGGACCGTGCTGGCGTCATCGCCATCGCCAGCAGCTCCAACGGCATAGATGGCTGCCTTTGTCCCACACGCCGCATGAGCCCACCCCAGCACAAGCATCGACAGTTGGGATCTCGTCCGGTGCTGATGCCCGGCATCAACGATAATCTGCGGAACTCCGTGAGCAAAAGCGGTGGCGGGGTGCGGCGTCCAGCGTGCCTCGCCGTATCGTGTGGTCCTCACCTGGGTGCATCCATCGGCGCATCCATCGCCGCGCAGAACCGCCCAGGCTCCGCGCGCATCCTCAACCACCCAAAGACGCCTGTGTTGGCGTCAGCCATCCCGCTGTTGACCCACACCTCCAGCACATGGTGCTCACCAGAGCCATCGACGGCTTCAAAGCTTACCGCCCGCCACGCCGACGGCAGGATGGCATACGACGAAGCATGCCGCTGGACAACCGCAAGCGGTGTTGCCTTCAGCGCTTGCCACACGCCGATACTGCCAACGGCCGATCGAGCTGCCGCGCTATATGGATCGCCGGCAGCAACCACTGCCGCCTCGTCATCAAAGGTCACCTCGGCGTCCCACCCGTCGCCGGCGACCGGCCACCCACTCATGGCTGCAAACACCGAGCCAACATCGTGAGGTTTGGCAAAGGCGGGATAGAGACTCCGCGCACTCGCGATCGAGTCCACTGATGCCAGCGAGAGCCACAGAGAGTAGGCATCCATCTCTAGACGATCCCACACTCTGGCCACCTCTTTGCCCTCTAGTCCACACACCGCCGCCAGCTCGGCAGCAATGGATCCGTCCTCGGCGTCAAGCGAGCTCTCACTGACTTCATCGTCCTCGTCCTCCTCTTCGCCACCAAGCGCCACCAGCACGGACTTTAGGCCTCGGCAAGCCAGCGCGTCCACCACCTGACTCGCTGCCACACTCATCAAAGCCAGAAGCATCGCCGATCGCGTTCGCTGTGGCAGCACGCCGCCCGTCTCGATCCCGTCGCCCATTCCGTCGCCCACTTCGTTGCCGCCAAAGCCGTCAGCAGCACCTGTGACCAGCTCGACCTCCCGCCACTTGCTGGCGAGGACCCGATAGACAGGCTTGAAGACGCGCCACGGCATGTCTGGGTACTCAGCCATGGTGGGCGTGCTGAGACGAGTCATGCATAGCCCTGCTTTCTGTGTGATCTGTCACCCCATCGACCGACTGGCAGCCGTGGACACGCAGCCGATCAAGGCATGCATTGCCGCGTTTACAACCATGGGACGCACTCTGTCCTCGAGTGGCGCTCTGCGAGCAGACGCAGACACAAGCCACGCACACGCCGCATGCTCATGCGTGCTTTCCGCCGGGAACCAGCATGCACACGTTTGAACCGTTGAGCAGGATCTCATCGTTCTTGATCCCGGTCTTGCCCGCAGGCGTCGAGTCGTACTCGGTCACATCCTGGAGGACCATGTTGACGTACTCGTCAAACCTGTATCCCCGCCCATGATCCGCAGCCGTACCACACCGCACACCGCATGCATGACACCCACCGACATCACATCACACCCACACCCACATCACATCCACATGAATAAGTATCGCACATCACTCCCCCCCCCCCCCCCCTTCCCGCCCTCCCCCACTCCCCTTCTTTTCCCTCTTCAGAGCCATCGACCCGATCCTTGTCCACGTACCCGGTGAGGATACCCTCAAACTCCTTGTCGCCCTTCATCAGCACCAGGACGCGCGAGCCAATGGTCTTGTCGAGCAGCTCACTGTACGCCCCAAACACACACACACACACACACACACACACACACACACACACACACACACACACACACACACACACACACCACCACCGACCACCGACCGTACCGACCGAACCG